GCTTTCCACTCAGCAAGCAGTTCAGGGGAACTGTGATCAAGGCAAGCAGGATAGTGCTCCTGCTTTTGTTCTGAGGGTCCAAAAGTGTGTGGTGCAAAGGGCTGATAAACCGGCATTGCCTGGTTTTCCTGGTCAGAAAAGGAAATTCCGCAGATTTCTGGGGATTTCTGGCCAAATTGCCCACACACAAGTCTGAGAAAAAGAAAAAAAAGCATTAGGAAAAAAAAAAGCAAGGTGAGATAAGGTGAAGAAAAATAATGGGGAGATGAGGTGTAGCATCTTGGCTGGATGAAAGCTGAAGGGCAGGGAGGAGAGGAACGGCCAAGAAGCAGCAGATGGTCCAGGGGATGTTCTCTGATTCGTGTCCCTTGGTGTCCTGTTCCTAACAGCCAGTGCTGAGAGTTGATCCAGCATGTTATACCCAGAGTTCTGCCTGCCTGTGAAGCCAGCAGGCTTGAAAACAGAAATGGGAGGCTTTTGCTAGGCATTCTGTAAGATGGCCAGGGACAGACCACAATGGCCAGGAAGGGGGATAGGTGGGGATGGTCATGCAGATGAGAAGAGACAGCAGGCATGAGGCATGCAGTGAAGGGTAGGAAGAGTAAATGCACTGCCTGGCATTGGTGGGAGAGACCTGGAGCAGAGGTGTGCAAGAAGGAGACAAGGATGTTGCAGAACGGGCAAAATAGGATGAAGAACAATAGCGAGCATATGGAGGTCACTGCTGTGGGAGAATGAGTGGTTTGGGATTTTGAAGGAACCTAACCCTGAATTAGGGTGTATAGGCTGTTAGTTAAGCTTCTTAGAGGACTTGAGACTCAGCAGGAGACATCCTCATCCAGCAGAGCACTTCACAAGCACCCAGACCCAAGACACTTGTGCTGTTCCACAGGGTGATGCCATGGCTGCACAGCATTGCTGCACCACAGGCTTCTTGTGTTTCTTTATCTTTTCTGACACAGTCCAGAGCAAAGCACAGGGATTTCTTTGCCTCCAGGAGATCATTTCTCAGCCTGGCAAGGGCTGAAGAGGCCTAGAATGTGTTAATGGTAGTTATGTCAGCAGGTAAACTCTGCCACTCAGATTGGGCTACTGTTGCACCAGACACTACAAAAAGTCACGGTAAGAAGTGATCCATGATCCAAAAAGGTTATTATCTAGAACACGCGAGGAGGTGAAGTCACTTGCTCAACTAGTCAAGCAAGTCAGCAGCAGAAAGGGGGAAGGAGTCGTAGCTTCCTTCATCTGAGTTTGGTGCTTGGTGGACCAGATCAGATTATTTCTCACATTGCCCACATCAGCATATTCCACCCGCCAGTGTTTATCTCACATCCTTGAGCAATAGCCCTCAGGACTCTGCAGTTCAGTTTTGCTTTATTTTACGGAGGAAGTGACACTCACAGCATGCTCAGAGGTTACACTGCTGCATTGCAACAGCTCTCATCCTACACAGAGATGGAAGAGATCCGAGTGGTGCAGATGTGATGACTCAGCTTTGCTGGATTTTACAGTACTGTAGCTCCACTGACATTCCACAGAAATATTCTGATGAGCTGGGTGTAAGACGAAAATCAAAGGTAGTGAAGCTGTCCCAAAATTAGCCACCCAAAGCAAGCCTTCTCCTAAGCCTTTCTCCCATACAGCAGTGTAGCACACGGGGAGGAAGGACATGCACATCTCCCCGTTTTGAGACGCCTATGATATATCAAAAAATGCCTACTTGATCTAGTTGCCTTGACCTTCTTTGGTATTCTAAATAGAGAAAACAAATGCAACTAGGGAACAGCTTCTCTGGTTTCTTTTAAACATTTACTTGCAACAAAACAACTTTCTGTCTGGAAGTGCTCACTCCCTGCACTGGCACAGAGAGCACCTTGCTCAGACACACCTCCTGAGGCCTCATGAGATGTCCAGCCCTCCCGTGGACATCAAGAATGCCAAGTGGACTGGATCTCTTTGGAGTGAGAAACTCCTGTCCACTCACACTAACACATCTCATGAATAACTACATGTAATCTGCAAGTTCTTCGGTAACTACTTCAGTGTGACGAGAGCTCAGTGTCTTCTACAACAGCCCAACCTTTGAATCAAAGGCATCTGAGCATCCTTGGTGGCTGCCTTGTTTAGGGTGGTTACACTCATCCAATTGTGCTTCCCAAGGAGACAAGCCAAGGCTGGAGAAAGGTGGGAAAGGGGCTTCCTATGCCAGTGGTATAGCACTGAGGTGAGGAAGGGGCAAGGTCAGGTTGGCAGGCTAGGTAAGGGAACGCTGTACTGCTCAAATATAAGTGGCTAAACCTGACTGGTTTTACTCTCTCTGTTAGCATTGGATTTGAGAACAGCATTTTTGGTCATCTAAGGATACCTGGACAGGAACTCTATCCCAAATCTCAGCACGCCAGACCTTCAGGGATGACCAAAAAGAGACACTCTCACCAGGAAGATGACAGTCCTTTATCAAGTAGCTAACATTTGAGGAAAAATCTGGTCATCTTCGCCAGGAGGACCACCAATCCCTCATCATGTAGATATCGTCAAGCATCTACCCAACTGAAACTGCTGTTCCTCACAAAATTTCCATCTGCAGCACTATGTTCAAAACAAGTCATTACTAATCAATGATCTCAAGTTCCAAATAATACCAGTTGCGCACATCCTAGCTCCGCTTCTTGTGATAACACTGCATACATTAGTTGCTAAACAATGTTGTTTCAAGTCGTACGTACACTTACATAACCTCATACCATATAATCAACACATTTCATAGCACGAAGAGATCAATCACTCTGATCCCCATCACAGAAATATACCTCTGCCCCCCATCATGTCATGAAAACAACATGAAAAAAGAAAAAAAAAGAACTTCCAACCTCCACACCTGCCAACGCCCAGCAGAGCTTGATGTACCTTGAGATGGTAGCCTTTTTAAAACCTGTGAGCACCACATGACCACCTCTGGCAGTCAGCAGTTCAAATCCAGACTGTCCTACTGCTCTGGCACGGAGCAAATATTATGGGGATGGGGGGATATCTAAGGGAGGGGAGGAGGGAAGCAGGGAAGGAGAGGAAGAAGGCAGGTCATGGAAATAGAGCCCCTTGCACTGTGTTCTCCACCCCAGTCCCCTTCCCAGGACATTCTCTCCCCACCCAGCCCCATCGCTGGGTGTTCTTTCCAAGCCTGGGAACACAGTCTCACAGCCTCCCCCAAAAATAGCAGTAACGGCAGTCTACGGCTATACTGATCCCGTACTCAATTCTGTTTGCTTTGCTCTTGCTGCACCTCTGAAAGAGAACCACAGTCAGTCTGCACCACCAAAGAAACAACAGAGGTACTTGCGGAAAGGTGGCAGGGGCTGAGACACCTGCAGAACCCATAACTGCAGCACTGCACAGGCTATGACATGTGGCAGAAAACCAGCCACGACACCACTGCTGCTCCCTGCCTGTGTTGACCCTGTTCTAACAAGCCACCTTCTGATGCTGCAATAGCAAGTGCTTGAACAGGGGCACAGGAGCTTGTGTGGTGGGCAGGATGCTTTCAAACAGACCCTAGCAGTTTTGGGAAGTAGGTGAGGATGTGGCCTCATTGATCCTCTCCGTGGAGCAGCAGCATCCTTTTCTTATTTTTTCCAGCCAGGGAGAACTGTGGGGACAGGTGTCTCTCTTTTTTTATTAACAGAAAAGGGGCCCACTTTTGCCCCAGCATTGCTCGCTGCAAGAAGCATCGTGAGGTGCTTGGCACATGCAAAAACACAGGGCAGTAAAATCACTGGAGTGAGCTTTCTAGGGACCTATCCCTCTCTATCCTTTGGGAGCCTTGGGACCAGCCTCCTCTTCCTTCTAGCCCTCCACAAAGGTTGTTTCCCATCCAAAAAATGGAGTGAAGAGCAGAAGGCTGCTTCTTATATGTGCACCCAGTCTCTCCCAACTCACCACCACCCAGCCCCTCCAGATTTCTGAGCCCATAACCTCGCACCTCAGCCCCTTGGGACCCCTCAGTTTCCCCTCTGGGAGGACAAGGAAGCAGAGAGGCAGTGCATCCCATGCAGCTCCACAGCTCAGCATCCTCAAGGCTCTGGTACCCTCTGCTGGCCCTGAACGTTTCTTTCGCTAATAAAACCTCTCCTGGGGTGTTTTTCAGCCTGAAGATCACTTGCAGACACGGCATCAGCCTCTCCAGCTCCTGCAGCAGCTTTGCTCGCCCAACACTATGCTGTCTTCAAAGGCCCCCAGCTGACCCCAAACTGCCAAGGGCAGGGATTTACCTGCACCTTACATCTCTGGAAGGATGCTTAAGAGAACCAACTCTTTGCTAGCAATAATAAAAACCTGCCAAGTTTTAAGTAAGTGCAAGACTGTGCAGCAAATGCAGAAGTGAAGCAGCTGCACACAGGCACCGCAGGGGAGTGCCTAGGTGAGTCTCCTGGTGAGTAGACAATCCTCCCCAAGGCCACTGGCATATAAGAATGAGGTGACAGAGACTACTTGGAGTAGGACACATGGCACATGTGCATCACCCCGCATCCCCATCCCTGCTGGAGCAAGCAGAGCTCTGCCCATGCCCCCCTGCAAGGCTTTCACACAGCCCTTTCCACTGCAGGGTTAAGTGTTTGCCTGCTGCAGCCCTGCGTGAGGGGAAGGAGGGATAAGCAAAGAGCAGCTCTGAAGGAGAGAACAGCAGGCTGTTTCCTTTGCTACTGCTAGCAGAAAGCATCAGACTGCACTCAGGGACTGGGTAAAGTGCCTCCTGCAGTTCTGAGCCCAACAGGACAGCCTATGCCAACAGGATTTATGCCTTAACAGACGATTAAACCCTGAGTGAGAAACAAATTTCTGCCTTCAGCGCTACTGGTGCTACCCATGGGGCTGTGTCCTGACTAGGGGCAAGTGCATAACACAGGGCAAGCACAAGGCATAGCTTTCAAACCAAAATCCTGCACCACCTCCAAAGGAGCAAGGGCATACATCCCCTCTGCCCCTCAGGGCCAAAGATCCTGAGCTACCAATATCAGTTTTTATTTTAACACAAACTAAAAGCTTTTGGAGTTCAAAGAAACACTGATGTGACACAGCGACAGAGCACACAAGGGAAACCCTGACCACCCCAAACCCTGGTTCAAGAGGGAGGCCGTGGGCTGTTTGGGTCCCCAGGGGAAAGCCTCTTCCAAGAGCAGCTTGTGACCCTCTTGGGCACTGCCTGTACGTGGGCAGGTGTCAAGTAGCATTGGTTCCCTCCTGGAGGGTGGCACAGGGAGGTCACTTAATGCGGTAGAGGACTTTGCGCTGCATACGGTGCTGGATCTCCCCTCTCCGCATCATCAGCTGCAGCACCTTGTAGATGGCATGTTCTGGATATTTCTGCAAAAGGGAAGAGCAGGGGAAGATGAGCCACTGTGGAACAGCTGACTGGAGCTCAGCAGGAACCTGCAACCTTTGCTAAAGCCCAACTATACCCCTCCAGAGAGAGGGACACCAGTAGCATCAGATGCTGATACTCCCTTCCCCTTTCACTGTTTCAGGTCTGACTGCAGCTAGTCTCATAAATCACATTATGCTGCTTTCAAGGGTAGGACCCCAAACTACCCAAACCAGCCACAAACCTCAGAGCTTTTGCAGATCAAATCCCCTTAAATGCTGCAATCACACTGCACACCATTTCTACAAACAACTTCAAAGGCAGGTATGACCAAAAGGCTCTTCAGTCACCTCTTTGAGGAATAGGTTTCAGACCCCAGCAGCAGCTTGGGGTCCCTGGTTTCACAGAACAACCCTCCATGGGGTCCCTGACCCACCTGCCGCATGAAGTCCTGGACGATGCTGTGCTCCGACACCTGAGAGCCAATGGCAAAGCGGCGCTTGAGCTGCTTCTCAATGCGGGACAGAATCTCTTGGTCCTCCTGTGTTGTGAAGCCTTCTGCCCCTGGAGGGAGAGGCTGGGTGAGGTCTCGTGCCACCCATGTCACTCTCAAAGCCAGAGTGCCCATCTCCTGTGTCTCCCACCACACCTGCACATCTCAGAGACTTTAGGGAACCCATGAGCAACTCCACCATCAAAGGTTGTGCAGCTCCACACAGCTGAATGTAAAACTGACTGCTGGAGCTTTTTTCCAAACCTTAATGCCAGGCTGGTACCCAAGGAAATATTGTCTTCACCACCATGGGGAAAGATGTTAGAGGACTAATAGGTCTGGGAATCACCTCCAGCACCAGACTCTGCTCTTGGGACCACAAGGGGAAACACCATCCCTCCCCTGACCAGCATGGGTGGAGACCCTCAGTGTCATTTGCCATTGCTCTCCCTGTGAGGCACAGCCCCACAGCCATGGTAACCCCTTGCTGCCACAAGCACTGCTTTGCCTCTGCTCAGGGAGGAGGTTCAGCACCTGCCCCTGACAGCCAGATCCTGGGAGGGGAGCTTGTCTCTCCTTGCCCTGAGCAGCCAGGCCCAGCGTGTCTCTCCAACCCTCAGCACAGAGCATCTCCTCCTCACCTGCCAGGTTGCCTGACATGGCAGCATCAAGTGTGGACACGTGGAAGAGCCGTAAGGCCTCCTCAACATCCACCTCAGTGGCGAAGGGCTGCAGCTTCATCTTCGCCAAGGACTCGGCAATGCGCACGATGGCCTCCAGCTGCCTGCAGCCAAAGGAGATGCTCCCTGTTTTCTACTGCAGCTCTTAGGTCTTTCTCCATCCCCCCAACCCCTTTCATCCCCAGCTACCCCACTGCAGGCACCTCCTGCCTTCCCCTGCAGCATCTTCAGTGTTGCCTTGTTCACACAGGGCTCCCCCCAAGCCCGAGCACCCCACTAACATCCTTCCTGGGCTACACCAGTAATGCCACCCCAATCCCAAAGGCTGTGGTGCAGTGAGGAGGGGGTGTTGCCTACCGGATGGTGATGGGGATGCTGGAGCGGCGGTCACTCTCCTGCTCGTGCTGGCGAGTGCCAGTCCGCATCAGGATGTAGCGATTCTTCAGCTTCTCTGCTGCTGCTGCCGACAGCCGAGGGCCACACTTCCTGCAAGGGGAGACAGGAGCTGGAGGCAGTGCCACTGGTGAGAGTCCCCGGGGCAGGGACATCCCTGGGCACCCCTCACTCCCTTGGACCATGCTGTGGCACCATCGCCAGCTCCTCTGGTATCCCTTTTTCCAATGCAGGAGTTTTAAAAGGGTCACTCAGAGAGAGCACAGCATGGTTTGCTTCTCACCACTGCCTCCCACCGTGCAACCCAGGTGCTGCTAAAACGTCATGTCTCTCACTCACGTCCGACAGAAGGAGATGAGCTTCTTCAGCTTGTTCAGCTCGATCTCACCCTCCACAGCCTGGGTCTGCGTCAAGGCACTCACGTGTAAGGACATCACGTGCTTGGCCAGTGTCTAGGAGAGCAGAAGGCAGTCAGGCAGCAGGAACCTCCCTGTCTCCTCCTCCTCCTCCCAAAAAACGGGGCACCAGGAGTCGCAGCTGCACCCACATGCCTCAACCCACCATGTCTCGCTCCTCATTGTGTTCGTCCTTGACGATGAAGATCATGTCAAATCGGGACAGGATGGTGGGCATAAAATCAATGTTCTCCTCGCCCTTGGTCTCATCCCAGCGCCCAAAGACGGAGTTGGCAGCTGCCAGCACTGAGCAGCGGGAGTTGAGTGTGGTTGTGATTCCTGCCTGTGGGGGGAAGGTGAAACGGATGGTGTCACATCGTAGGAGGGCAGACATTAACTCATAGCGAAAGGTCCAGAGTGGTTTGCAAGGACTCATCCTCAATCACTTGCATATAAATAAACCTCCTTAAGTAGTACCCCACTGCTCTTTAAGGGTTCCACGTTGGAGAGGGTTCAGCACAGGAGCTATGGGGGACTGGACCCATGTCCTTCTGGAGGAGGACTGGCTTCAGCTGAGACTTAAGAACTGAGTGATTTCACTGAAAACCTCAAGTCAAGGGCACAGAAACACAAGACCCCAACACAAGTTTGCGATCTGAGCCAGAAGCTGGGTCCTCAGCCAGGGTTGAGTCCTCCTGGACAGCTCTGGCACAAAGCATGGGTTTGCAGGTAGCAGCATGACAGCAACCAGCAAGCTAAAGCCATGGTGGGTGCTCTTTCCAGAGACTGAACAACTAAGGGGCAAGCCAGAGCAATCAGGAGGCAGCAGAGGTGCTACAGAAAAACATTAAGCAGCAGAAACGAAGAGAAACTCTGACTTGAGAAAGGAGCTGGTACCAGGATGTCAGACGGTTTCTGCAGATCTTCTGAGGGGGTGAAGAGCAGTGGGAAGGAAGAAAAAGAAGTGACATCAGGCTGTGACATAGGGACATCAGCAGAACTAATAAATCAAGAGGAGCAAAGGACTGGCATAGCAGAGGGAGCTTGTTTCAGTCCTGCTGAAGTTCAGTCTGCCCACAAGAAGACAACCCAGAGCATGCAAGCAGGGCTGACTGGTCTCACATCAGAGAAACCAGCAACCATCAATACTGCTTGCCCGGACTCTAAAACGGGCAATTCTGGCAAAAGATGCATGACCACTGGTTGCTGGGGTCCCAGGCTCACAGCCCTGGACAACATGCATCCACAGCTCACCTTTGCAATGGAGATGGTCTGCTGCTCCATCGCCTCATGGATGGCCACGCGGTCATCCTCCCGCATCTTCTCATCCCAGGTGGGAGAAACCAGACAAGGGGAAAAGAAGTCACCATCAGTCACCTCTGCCAGACCTCAGCTACATGTGTGACCCCCAATAAAGCTCTGTGAGGACCTCTGCCCAAGAGTGCAGGATGCAAGCAAATTCCCCTGCAGCCCCATCCCCCTGACCTCCCCCAAAAGGAAGTGAGGCACTCTCAGGAGAGTTGCCTTTCTGCTGCACCTCTGGGCTCTCCTGGGAGAAGCTGGCATCCCCAAGGGTTGTATTCCCCACTCCTTCACAGGCAGCTCCATGGGTACCTTGTCGAACTCATCAATGCACACCACTCCTCCGTCTGCCAGCACCATGGCTCCTCCCTCCATGAAGAAATTCCTAGAGGAAGGGTCGCGGACCACTGAGGCCGTCAATCCGGCAGCACTGCTGCCTTTTCCCGAGGTGTACACCTAGTGGCATGTGGGGCAAGGAAAGGGACAGCACATCAGTTGCTACAGCATCCAGGAGCCCAGTGCTCCAGCTGAAAGACAAAGCAGCCCTGGCACTGCAAAACCTGGAGCTGCTGGAGGAAACAGAAGAACCTCCATGAAAAGCCCTCAGCACATGCAGAGGTGCTGGGTAAAGAGCAAGACTATTGCCTCGTCCCAAGCCTCGGACTAAACAACTGTGACGCACCCGAGGGTGTGCAGACACACAAATACAGACATTAAGTACAGAACAGGGAGTGATTCATTGTTTGATGGGCTGCTACGTTAGCTTTGTTTTCCCATGGAGGGAACAATGCAGTCAGAGGCTGAGTTTAATAGAGACAAAAAACCACAGTTGAAAGTATAATTCTATGCCTGGGCTAAGGCTGGAGGTCCGTGCCTGAGATGCAGTCAGCTTAATTTGTCCTGACCAGCCAGCCCCTCTGCTGATCAAGTCTCAACAATAAACAGCAGCACCAGTCACATCTCTGGACATCTGCAAACAGCCTGGTTCATAGCATATAATGAAAGGCATTACCTGTTTCCCTTTCCCTCCCTTATTCCCCATCTCTTCCAAGCTAGCACCAGTTCACACCTCTGCCAGCAAGTCTACCTATGGATGCAGCGACACGTCTGCTGTGACCACAGTCTGGTCTTTGGTGCTACACAAGGAGCAGAAAGGACAAAAGAAGTGCGCTACAAGCGGGCACCTCAAACCACCTACCCCAATGGGCGAACACTTCTCAACAAACTTCAGCAGTTGGGATTTGGCCGTGCCAGGGTCACCCAGCATCAGCAAGTTGATATCCCCCCTGCGGGTCAACCCATCCGGGAGCCTGGAGTGACAGAGTGGGAAGAAGAGAGGGAGGAGAGATGGTGAGCCTTAATTCTGGCAACTAAGCACTGCTGACAAGTGGCAGGCAGCTGGCAGCACTGCCAGGAGACTGTATGAGTGCTCTGTGCCATCAATGACATCCCTGCCAGCACTCTCTTCCACCAGGCTGACTTTTCCCCACCTCTTGCGAGAGCCTCCAAATAAGAGGCAGGCGATGGCCTTCTTGATGTCAGTGCTGCCATAGATGGAGGGCGCGATGCTCTTGGCAATGGTCTCGTAGATGTTGGGCATGGCAGTGAGGCGACGAAGTTCCTCCTCTTCCTGAGGGGTCACCGAGCCAGCAAAGCTATGCCCTGTATAATGATGAGGAGAATGATGCAAGAGTGGATGTTTTAAAGTAAATTACATCACTCCCCCCCACACCTGCTACCACCAAAACCCTTCCTTCATGATCATGCCAAGTGCTGCCAAAAGCAGGTGGGAAGGGTGGAGAGGGCAAGCATCTGCTAACCAAGAAAGACAGGCTGTGTTCTTACAGCCTGTCAAGAAAAAGCAAGGATCTTGGGCAAAGCAGCTCTGCAGGAACCAGAGGGAGAATTATAGTCAGGACCATGTTTTAAATACATAGCTCAATTTGAACGATGGACTTCAGCCCGGATCCTCAGGGATGGCTTAGCAGATTTCCACTACGATCAATAAGACAAAAGCACTTAAATACCCTGGAGGACTCAGGCTGAAACCTCCTCAGTTAATATTACTGAGAGAAAGTCCTACAGGACACAACTAAAACATCCAGGGCAAGTCAGAGCCCTGCAATGGCCTGAACATTCTGCTATATAAGCAGTAGAGAAGGACCAAGGCTGTGATTTCATACAGTCCTTGCAGAGGGATCACCTTATTCAGGAAGGGGGCGTGTCTCCCAATACCAGGCTACCCAAACAGAAAAAACGTGCACCAAAAGCAGCCCTCACCTGATCCCTCTACGTCCACCTGGATGCCCACCACACGGATGTAAGCGCTTCGAATGCCCACCCCAACGTTGTCACGTCTCTTATCCTTGCTCTGGGCAGATTTCTTGATGGAGTAGATCCCCATGATAGTGACTCTGTTCCCTGGGACAACTTTGTCACATAGGTACCTAAGAGGAGAAAGGAGAAAGCAGAGGATGGTAGCAGGGGAAAGGATGGCACCAGCAACATCCAGCAGGATCAGGGTGGGGAGGCTGTGCCAGTACCTGTCACAGTACAGCTGCAAGTGCCGGGGCATCTCCCCGTGCGGCACAGCGTCCGGGGACTCCTGTAGCTTCAGGACCTGGAAGTCCACACACTTGCACTTATCTGGCATGATGAAATAGGGGTCCAGCGGACACCTTGGGCGGCCAGCTTGTTCCCTGTGCAGAGAGATCAATCAGGGAAGGCTGTTAGCACTCAAGAGCCACCCCTTAGAGCCCATCTGTGGAGGGGACAGCAGTGACAGTGCCCCATCAACAGGTAAGGGCAGACACACAGGGTCAGACCAAAGGCTCACCAAGCCCTCTGCCTTGTCTTTAACAGCTGCCAAAAGTGTGCATGAGAACAAGCCAGAGGCAGAGTGATACTTGTTTGAGCACTCTCCCTGCCTCCCTCCTCTCCCTTGCCAGATTAGAAGCAGGGAGGAAGGTAATTCATTAATTACACAGAAGGTAACAGTACAGGCTCAGTGACATGGCAGGGCATTTCTCTTTATAACCTCATACATGAAGCAAATGTTAAGTGGTTTCTGGTGAGAAAGCAATTAGCAACGTGACAAGGCTGACATCCACCTCCCAGTCTCTCGAGACATATCTGCCTTGCTAGACTACAAGCTCTCCAAGACACAGAGCACCTCCACATCCTGCTGCCGTCTCAGAACGGCACTACAGATGCCTGACTCCGTGCAGGGCTTCTGGGAAGGGTAACATGAGGGTGAGATGCACTCATGCAGTCAGGGATCAGGAGTGAGGTGCTGCACAGATTACATGCAGGAGCAATCCCAAACACCTCTCAAGCTGCAGTAGAGTTAAGATGCAGAAAATAAATACTGGCAGGTATGAGCCTGAAGACCCAACCCACCAGGACTGGTTGGCTCAAGAGCTGCAGCACAGTGGCAGCCTAATGCTCGTGGTTTGCACAGGCACCAAGAGCTGTAAAGCAGGATAAAAAGGTTAGCAGCAAAGGACCCTTAAGGAGGTAAGACAAAACAGGCCCCTCAGGAGGGGGAATATGGAAGCGAGAAGTTTGTTCGGGAAAGAACTTAATAGGAGATCAGGACAGCAGCTTCACACAGCATCATGGCACAGCTGGAGACAGGAACGAATCTTTAGGTACAAAAGCAAAACACCCTAGGGATAAAAAGAACTCCCTGGATACGGTCACTCAACACTACATGCAGACACAGGGGGAGCACGAAGGGTGGATGCAGAGAGCAGTGAAGATGCTTCTGCCTTGTGCAACAGAGAGCTGACTCTGCAGCATGTGAGATGGAGGGCGATTAGGAGGAGGGAACGCAGCCCTTCTACCCCCACCAGCCTGCCAAATGCACCACCCCTTTGTCAGTCCTTACGTGTTGCACTTCCTGGGGAGAGCATAGCCCTCCAGGCCCGGGCGCACCGCAATGTTGGTGATGGTGTTGCGGCAGCTGCGGCACTGGATGGTGATCCTGGTAGCTTTGGCCCTCACGGGGGTTGCTGCAATTACAATCCCAGGGATCTTCACGAGGTGGGACATCTGGTCAGACTGAAAGGGAAAAGGTGAAGGGAAGGTTAGAAAGCCATTGATGGAGGACGGATGAGAAACTAAAGTAAAGAAACACAGTTCTTTCTTAGCTTCACTTCTCACTTTCACAGGACTAAGGAACCACAATAAAAAAGCCTGCACAACGTCACTCCTTCACTCTTCCATAGTAACGTAACATGACTTAAGCCATGCTGATTTAAAAGCATGAGAGGAGAGGACAGAACACTCCATGCAGAACATCACTAACAGCAATAATGCCCCAGCAGCAGAAACCAGCAATAACAGTCCTTTGCAATCAGATTTCAGTTGCAGAGTACTGCTGCTTTAAATTAGTAAATTAATGTGCAATCCATGTCCTGAGCTGTGTGATGAAGTACCAAAGGCTCCCCTACAATCACCCACACAAATGCAAATCCTGCCACTCACCTTCAGGCTGCGGATGGTGGCTGCATTGGCATCCGATCTCAGCATCACCTGGATGTCTTGCAGAGCTTCCTCCCCTGAAGGACGAGGGCGAGTGACCTCATCTGCGACTTCTTTTGCTGCTTCTTCCAACTAGAAAGGTAACAACGAGGTTATTAATGGGTACATTACAGGATCATGTCAGGGCTGCTCTCAAGGTGTGGCGGTGTCAGTGCCGACCTCCTCCATCCTTACCAGCTGCAGGTGCTCCGCTGGTTGCTTGTACAGATAGTCAGCGAGATCTTCATCAAAGCTGGCCAAGTCTTCCATCTCCACCTCCACCCAGTACTGACTCAGGTTATAGTGCCGCTTGAGCTCATCCCTGGAAGGCAGGAAGTGGTAAAGCTTTGCAGGGCAGAAAGCACCAGTCTCCCACAGTAACCTTATAAAAAGCAGGGATCAGAGAAGGCAGGTTCTGCAGGGGGTCCTTGGTTTGGAAAGCAAACAGGAAAAATTAGGAGTGCCAAAAGAGAAGAGCAGAGGGACCTGAGCAAATCTTGCACCCAAATCCACTTTGAAATGTGACATAAGGCCAGGTGACACCAGTGCTTGCAGTGACAATGCACTTATGAGTTACATAACCAGATAAGCAATTAGAAAACTTCTACATAGGATAATAACTATTTTACCTAAGATGTGGTTTAAAACAAAGGAAGTAATAGCAGAGCAAGCACCGTTCTTATTAAAAAAGACAGTGTCTGTGAAATTTAGAGGTAAGAGACAGTTCTAGTCCTTGATTATGATACATTTCCATGTTCTCTCACAGTTGTGTCTCCAAGCTGTATAGGAAAAAGGATGTCCAAGAGAACTTCATAGACTTGGAAGGCACATGTGAACAGTGCTGTACTGATTTTAGTGGGTGCAGACAAAACTCCAGACCAGAAAGTGTCAGAACTCGAAGACAGATCTTGAATTCCAGAAGTGCAAGCCAGGCAGTGCAGATCCCTCTATTGCTACCTCTGCCACGGGGTGGCTGCCTAAAACTTTGTGAGAACATCAGACCTACATTTTTCTATCAGGTTCTGTAGGAACAACAACATCTCTTACACTGACAATGAGCAGGGTTTATGGCTTGGCTTTCTGGCCTACCAGAAGAGAGAAGCTGGGACGTGCTACCATGTATCTGGGGTGTGCACTGCAGGAGGGAGATTAAGAGCAGACTAGACATGCAAAGAGCGGTGGGTAAAGCTCAGAAGGAGAAAAAGGGGCCACAGCAGCACCTGTATTTGAAGGTGAAGCCCGTCCGGTCCGTGCCCACCCGGTACTGCCGCAGGAACTCCTTGAACCGCTTCTGCAGCTGCGACTTCCGAACCTGCCCCTCGTCCACGGACGCATCTCCCCCAAAGCTGTCGCTGTAGTAAATGCCGGGGTCGTCGAAGCCGGACATCGCGACGGCTGGTGCGCTGCGGGGGCGAGAGCACTCGGTCAGCCCCGACCGCCCTCCGCGCCTCCCGCGCCAAGGGGCCCGCGGGATTTCCCCTCCCGGGCTGCAACACACGCACGCAGTACCCCGTTCCTGTTCCCCACCGTTCGTTCCCGTTCCCCCCCGTTCCGTTCCCGTTCCCCACCCTGTTCCCGTCCCTGTTCCTCCACCCCGTTCCCGTTCCTGTCCCCGTTCCGTTCCCCACTCCCACGTTCCTGTTCCCCCCCGTTCCCGTTCCGTTCCCCACCCCGTTCCGTCCCGTTCCGTTCCGTTCCCGTCCCGCACCTCGCCGCCCTCACGAACCCGACAACAACTTTTTCGCGGCAAAACCGGCGCGCGGCGGAAACCGAACGGCTGCAAGGCGCGCGCCGCCGCCGCGCGCTCCGATTGGCCCGCCCGCCGCGCGCCGCCGCCGATTGGCCCCGGCCTCCCTCCCGCCCCGCCCCACGAGGGGGCGCGCGGCCCCGCCGCCGCCGCTGATTGGCTGGGACGCTCCGCCCCGAGCGGTTTGGCGCGAAATCGGTGAGCGAGGGGCGGGGAGAGGTGAAATGGCGGGGGGGCGGGACTATTGTGGCGGAGGGGGAGCAGGCGAAACCATTGCGGGCGAGAGGAGCGCGCCGGGGGCCCCGGGAATAAAGTGAATTAATTGTGGCTGTAGGCTCCTGGGGCAGCTCGGGCCTGTCCCTGCAGGGCACCTCCGGAGTGCCTTTCTCCTGACTAGTAGTGAGTTTGTGGAGAAGGCCGGCAGGGCAGTGGTGCGCATTTTGGCCCTTCAAACACCTGGTGGTGCACATCCTAAATGATGAGGAAGCTGAGAATCGTGGGGCATTGCAAGGGAGGTTTCAAATAAAGACCGTCTCGTTGTTACAGGGAAACCAGATGTATTCATAAAGATCATAGACGAGTACAAGAAAAGCTTCATTCTTCACCTCTGAGGGTCTTAGGCTCAGTCTGGAGTCCTTCAATGTGTGATCATACAGTGGCTGTGAGATACCCAAAGGACCGTCTTTTCTCCTGCCATGAGCAGGCAGGGGATAGCGTCAGTAGGAATCCATATTTCCTAACTTTGGGGTCACAGTCACGACCTCTGGGCAGCGGAGAAGGGCTGAGTGTGGTTTAGTGTGTCTCTGAGCTCATGGGCATTTGTTTGCCTGTTTGGGATCTTAGTTACCTCAGCATGGTTGAGTGAACATAATGATCTGGGCTGGCTGTTTGGGGTGGCTTACAGGGACTGAATAGGCAGCATCGTGGAGACATGCTGATCACAGAGGCTTTCTGGTGGAAAGAGAGGAAGGGACTCTGAGGTGGTACTCAGGTGGTACTGTTGTTCAGTACCTGGCCACCACTGAACTGCAGCCTCTCCTGCGTAGGAAGGCCTTCCAAAGCAGATAGGGCCTACGGCTGGCAACAAAGCTGTCCCTTCAGATCTGCCTCGGCAACAGGCAGGGAAAGCAAGGTGTGTGCATAGTCTGCTCTGGCAGTGCTGTGGTTTGGAGTGTCTTTAGCAATGTTCTATGTGTGCCATGTCCTGAGAGTAAGCTGGATTGGTTTGTTACTCAGGTGAGGGTATCCTCATGTCTCCCATTTAGCTGCCTTAATGAAAACCTAGGATGCATCTAGTTTTTGGGTGGTGAAAATGTACTTGCTGTTCTGATTCATGCTGAAGCTCTCATAAAGGCAGTCTGGTAACGGAGCTGTCCTGGTTTTGACCAGCTGAGGGTCCCATCACCTTTTGTTTGTAATAGAATAGCAGCTCTTATGTACTGCTTCCACCCCTTAAAAATACTTTGTAGACTCCCAGAATTTTGTGCCATTTCTAGAAATAGAGAGCAGTCTGTAGGAGCTGAAGAAACCTGCCCCAGCTTATAACAGGTTATTGTTAGCACTGAGTGGGAGCAGAGTCTGGCTCTGATGATAGCTCCCACTTCCGTCTATTGTCATGTCTGTGGAGACAGCAGCTCCAAAAGACAGAAAACCGGGTGGAAGAAAGACACCTCCTTTCTCCCTGGGTAAGGCTTTAATAAAAGGAAACACCAGGCCTGAAGACTTTACTTTGAAGTTTATTGTGTGTATAAATTATATAACCAGACAACAATGACACTGTATCTTCAACAACCATCTTCTGCTTTTCAAAAACCAAGAATGATTGGAAAAAGAATTAACAAAGACCTACTAGTGTCATATAAAACAGTCTGTAACCCACGGGAGACATGTGGCTCCACAGAAAGTGATCACAGTATTACCTACTAGTATAAAAAGACTGAGCAAACAGAGCTCCAAGGACCTTTGTATTTCTGAGGAAAGACGGATGTCGAAGCTGTGTTTCTGATCCTGTAGGATTTTTGTAGGCGCTCCATAAAGCAATGACAATTCTTGGCTGTCATTTTTAGCCTTTTCTACTCTAGTTTTTGGTGATAAAGTTAGTCTCTGAGAAGAGCTCACACCAAGCACAGGAGAGACTTTGCCTGAACCCCCTTAACAGCACTCTCTTTTATTTCTGGGGAGAAAAGTCTCCTAGTATTAGTGGCAGAGCCAAGATCACAGTACCCAGTCAGGGGGAATTTCTCGAAAAAGGACTGGGGAAGGTGGATTAGTTCAGGGCGAGGGAAGGCACAGAGACAAGGCGAAGATCCCGCTCTTTCACATCGCAAATAAGCCCACGGCCACTGTCATGGCTAGGAAGCTGAGCGCCAGGACCCACCGCACCAGGGAAGTGGTGGGCGTCACGTTTGTGTTTTTCCTGTTTGTCCTCTCACTTTCTTTCCCGTGTGCTGGACCTAGATCAAATAGAGATAAAAAGAAAATAAAGGCAAGTGAGAAGAGGTTGAGGCAAGAAGTTGTGCTGGCATGGCACACTTGCTCTCCACTGTGCCAGAGCAGACCTTGCTGGGATCATCAAGTCACTTGACAAGGGCTCACAACCTCTCTGCCTGAATGTGAGTACCAGCCTCTTCCTTTGACTCCTTACAGGCTTATAAATGCACTGCCCAGATCCATTAAACTCCTGATGTGTGCAGAAAACAGCCAAATACTTGAGCCAAAATTTTAAAAGGCATTTTGTCTCCTACTTCTCATTAATTAATTAGGTGTCTAATAACCTTAAATAGTCCTCAGCACTCCAGACAATTTTCCCAGTACAATTTCAAGATGAGATTCCTCATTCAATACCAAACTTTTCTTGAAATTCTACTTTTATGACTGTGCTGGGAAAAGAACAGAGAACTTTCAGTGCCATTCTCAAAAAAGTTGCTCTAAGGTTCATTATCTGGAGATGCACAAGATGAGGTTTGCTTTTCATTCTTTGCCATGGGAAAACTGTGGTTCAATCCAGTGTGCACTGAAAAAATCTCCCTCTTAGTTTCAGAATGGGTAGATAATAAGGGTTTTTTTATTTGACTCATATGTCATCAGGGAAACCACTCTGCTCTGTAAACACCTGAGCTCGCTCCTCACTCAGTTATAAGCCTCACAAGCTGATTACATTTCACCATCCAGAACAATGCTCACTAGAAACCCAGCGCACTCTCTGGAGTGTTTTCAGCAAATACTTCTGGAAGGCAGGAAAATTACCAGATGGAGATTTAATCCAAAGGGACAGGCCGTTGGATAGGACTGTGTGTCTGGAAGAACCTTCTGTGAGCATCACAGAACCACAGCTGATCTGCTGGGCCTTTGCTTCTGTGAACTTAAGGACAGCTTTCCCTGTGGTGAATGAACCTTACATTCATTCAAGTCTAAGAGGCGGAGAGGGGAGTCTCTTTTTCTCTTTCTGGAGAGCCCACACGTGCCACCCTCTGTTATGTCTAGAAGAAGCTTTGCACACACCAGTGCCTCTCCTTCCACTACCTGCTGATGGCTGGAGAAGGCATGGGACAAGCACCTCATGCTCATTTCTCAGTGGCTTTTACAAACAAGAACAGAGGAAGGGAGCTGAAGGAAATGAAGGAGCAATGTTAAGCACCTGCCCTTAGAAGTGTCTTACCGTGCTCATGTGATTTGTTGACATTCCTTGTGCGAAGCAGTTCTGCCTTTGGCTGCACAGGATGACCATTCTCCTGGCCCCTAGACACCAGCTCCTGCAGTGCCTCAAACACCTGAGAAGAAACACTGTCTCATTATGTGGCCTCCTCTTCTTCTTTCATTGGACCCCTTGCCCCTTCCCCAGGCATTTTATGAACTAGAGGAAGACACAAGCCTTCGGTCCCAGTCTCCTGACACATTTTGCATAGAAAATAAACTGTTTGTGGGGTCAAATCATGTCTTTCAAGCTCCTTGTTTGCTTTACAGGTTCTCTCTGAAGCTTTCAGCTAAGGATAAGGTGATTGCCTATCTTCTGATGGGAAGGAAAGCAAGGTACCTGTATGCCTGGTCAGTGTCCACAAAGGACCTGTGTAACTTCACTACATTGGTGGGACAGATAGGTGGTGATCCCTACTCCCAGTATCAGCCCTAATTCATATCTGGATACTGGCACATGGAAGAGGCTGGATTCAAACACTAAGGGAGGGAGAAGAGCTTTTCAGAGACCATACTTTTACTCAGCTCCCAGTAAAGCATGGCCATCGAGCTCTGATTAGCTTGCCCTAATTTACAACTTCTCATAAGCTCCCAGAAGAAATACTGGCTATGCATTTCCCCTCTAGCTATTTTATTGTTTGAGAGAGGGTGTGGGCTGGCAGGGCTGGATGGTTGTGTACTCACCTGTATATTTAGCAGGAATGCTTTCTTGGCCTCCTCCAGGACTCTTTTCTTAGTGGCAAAGTCCATCTCGAGAGCATTCATGCGGGAGCGATAGAGCTGCTTGAACTTGGTGGCATTGGAGACTCCATCAAAGGTGAAAAAAGCCAGCCCTTCTCCGGTGCTGGGCAGCTGGAGGGCCTTTTGGGCAATTTTTTTCAGCACCTGCCCCCCAGAGAGGTCTCCCAAATACCGGGTGTAGGCATGGGCCACCAGGAGCTCTGGGTGGTTCTTGCCT